AGTAATATTTCCCTTTTTCCAGTCTCCAGTGACCTCCCCAGATAGCCAGGATTTTTCAAATATGATGGAGAGCGGCTCAGCAACCACATCAGCCATCTCTTTCAGAACCCTAGAATGGATATCATCCGGTCCCATGGACTTATACACGTTCAATTTCATGAGGAGGACTCGGACTTGTTCCACCATTACAGTGGGACAGAAACCACTCCCCACACCCTCACCTATGTTTCAAACCTTAACACACTTTTTATTTCTTATTTCTTTATTCATCAATAAATAGAAGAGAATTTTAAAAATGTAATTGCATCAACTTTGTCAGATCAGTATTCCTAAAAATCTGTTCCCCAAAGATCAAACAAAAACATGAAGAAAGGTAAGATGGAAAGCACCAGATATTCTACTAGTACCACTATAAATTATTTGGTCTCAAACTCACCTGTCTTTTGTCCCAAAGGCAGGCAGTAGAATTAACATAGTCTGCTAATGCTGAAAACAGTTTTACATTACGGTACTGGAGATTGTAACAAGCTTCCAGAAGGAGAATTAACTGCCGAAATGGAGCATCATGGACATTCTCTGTAACAGAATAGAAAAAAGCATAAATTATATCAAGCAATGGGAGGTGTAGCTGGAGATGTTGTGGGAACAGTTTGGCTAAGGAATGGTGGAGGGGAAAAAAACAAATCAGATAAGGAACTATGGAACAGACTGAGACTAGCTAGGCAAAGTCAACTGAGCTAAAACACATGAAGAAACTGAGAGATTACTTAAGATCAAGCTAGAAGGGGTAAAGCAGCAAAAGGGGACAAATTAACAAAAGAAGCAAGAAGGCTGTGTTCCCAGAACACCTTCTGTTCTAAGATTCTTCATCTTCAGCACCTCCCTGCCCTCAACATGGAAACCCTCAGTCTGGCCCCTTTAGTACTGATTGAGCCTTTGGGCTGTCCACCACGTCAGCTGAGGGTGTAACAGAGGTGGATCTAGAGCTGCTAATTAATCAGATACTAGCACATAATGAAATTTACATTTTTTTCCCATTTGGTTTTACAAAATGGCAAGAAACCACAAATACGAATCTATGTCTAAAAAGCACTAAAGGCTGTCAAGCAGTAAAGCATTAGCAGATGCCAAACTGGAAAACGTGGAACCATAATATAAGCTCCTAGCATATGAGCGTGATGACACAGATTGAGCGCCAAATGACAACAGACTTCCGCACAGGACTGCTGCTCCCTTTGCCACACAAGATAGACCTGCTCCTGAGATGAAAAAGATTAAGTACTAAAGAACAATGCTCTCCCTTTAACAGCCCACTTTGCTGCAATGAGGGGCATACATGTCATAAAAGGCAATGACTGCAAGAGAAAAGAGCACAGTTACAGTAGCAGGATAAGCACCCATCAAAACTAGTCTTTAACTTTTCTTCTGCCAGAGGACTCAAGAGGATAGCAGGAAAATAAGTGAATTTAACTCCTCTGAGTTGTGCTCAGTGATTTTCCAGGCTCAGCATAAAACAGTTACCTCATTTCTTGAAGTGCTGAGTGCTGACAACTGTGATTGAAGCCAACCAGAGCTGTGCATCAAATAAAGTGATTTGTAATGCTAGGTATTCATGAAAAAAACAGGCTGAAGGAATCTTGTATTACTGGACACTTTGGCCTTAATCTCTCCCTTCTGCATAATCAGAAAATGAACATAACCACTGGGTTACTCCCTTGCTGCTGCAAAACTGAATAAGTACCTATGAAGTACACAGTTATTACAATTTTGGTCAGGTCCCAGAACTGGGAGAGAGGGCTACTTTCTTAGAGCCCCAGCAGGACCTGGAAAACCTTCTGGAGAACTCCTTTGCCCTATGGGCATCAAAACATGCCCCTCCCTTCTCTTCCTATTCCATCTCCAGCCCCTGATAGGGGTAATTTCTGTCCACAAACTAATCACTCTGTCCCCAGAGCATCTTTTGCATGATGTGCAGCATGCACTGAAAAAAAAAATGCAGCACAAAGTACAGAGTAGCTCCTCACCCTGTGTATGCCATCTAGCCTGTGTACTGAGTGTGGTGAAAGTCCTATGGGAGAAACCTGCGTGTAAAATTAAAGACTGTGTCTTAACACACAGAACAACCAAGACAAATAAAGGCTGTACAAGCAGCCCAAACACTCCTGGTTCATTTATGTTAAGAAGATTATTTTGCTATCTTTATGGGTTTTAGACATAAATTCATATGTATTTGAAGTGTGCATCAACACATACTGACCAAATATACTTAAGAAATGTAGGGTAAAGGTACGGAGAGAGGTGAAATCATTAGCTTTCATTTATTTTTTTTTCTGGGCTGCAGCATGAGCTCAGTTTTTAAGCAGCATTCAATAATTAAATCCAGTTACTCAGGGAAACACTTTGTCCCCTTCAGTTTATCAACTAATCACACTAAGCCACCAATCCATCCCGTAAGATGTCCCCTTCCAATTCAGATTTGTTTTAAAAGTTTATCTGAAATCTGTTTTTTCTTGCTAGAATTGAATTATGTTTCCTAAATTCGGCATACAGAAAAATGCAAAGAAAAATATGTAATTCAGGTAAATGTTAAGAAGGACAGAGATTACAAGAGCTTTCATTATCAGTCAGTAATTTTCTGTCTTGCTGCTCGTCAAATGGCTCCACATCACTATAATATCCTGTAAAACAAAGACGTTTCCTGAGTCTTAAAGGAAATCAGAAAAGGGAGATGAGAGAATAATTAGGTAGAATTTGGTATAAGAAAGGGAAATTTAATAAGCATATTTTTTTTCTTACCCTGGATCTTTTTACTGCAGGCATTCAGGATTGGAATGGAACAATAATTCATTGCATCAAGAGCCAAAAAGACACGCAGAGCATTTGTGAAAGTCAGATGGTCTCTCTCTTTCAAAACTGCCATCTAAAGTGAATTAGAGTTTATTAAATCCTTCATTCTTCAGGTCTATTATCACATCTTTCTGGCATTTTCACCAAAATTTCCCCAAATTCCTCAGCCTATTCAGACTTGGAAGAAAGAAAAAGGAGCAACAAAAAGCAAAAGCTTAAAGTAACTACTCTCCACTTCTTAACACACTAGGTAGAGCAGATCAAGCGTTCTAGAGCCCTGTTACTATGCAAGTTCCCAGCAATTTGCATTTATATGTTTTTTTAAAAAGAAGCCTCAGTAAAGCTCATTTCCAAATACTGTGAATATGTATCTTCTACCAACTCTATAAAAGTAGCAGAAATCTAATTGGCACAGTTGAGTTATCTAATTGGCACAGTTGAGTTATTTAATAGTACTCCAGTTACTGTTTTGGATGCGCATGAAAGCTGTAAGCCTTCAAAGTGATCCAACAGCACACCGAGTGGTGTATCTTTAATACAAACGCCCAGCTACAAATGTAGACTGAGGCACAGAAGGTCAGCTCTGAAGCCACAAAGAAGACTTCATTTATTGAAGCAGTAATTAGATTGATATAAATGACAGTAAAAATGAGACTCCAAAGCATATTGGCTATTAAAATACAATATTCTTACTGCATGTATATCAAAGGTTACATACAAAATATGTCTACAATAGAAATTACACAGTATTAAAAATAGCACCCTGTAGGCTCAGAAAATTAAGAGTTCCCTTCAGTTAACAAGTGGAAATGTTAACTTTCCTCTCACTTCCATATACCACCACATCTTCAGCCCATTACTCACCATCTCGTAAAAAGTGGTACCTTGTCCAAGTTTTTATGATTTCTTAGATCTAACAGACTGCATGAGCCCCCTGCACTGCGCTATTCTTGCCCAGTTGCCCATCAGTGGTATCTTGCCTCACTTCCTTGTGAATGCTATTACAAACTGACCTCAGAGCCCTTCAGCTATGTGATGAAAACACTAGCAGACTGTCTAAAAGGAGGTTTCAAAAAGTGTCTTTAAATCAGGGGATGAAACCCAGCACGCCCTGCCATAAAACCTACAGCCTGCTCCCAACCCCTGCATTTCCCAGGGGACCTTTCAGATACACAGAAAGATAAGGCCATGAGCCAGGTGAGCTCTCCTGGCACCTCACTCCTATCGGTTTTCTAGCCCCGTACCGTTATTGGACACAGCCCCATCACAGACTAGTTTTCTGTCTTCTTGTTTGCAGCCACAGGTTGGGCAAGGGAATCAGGGAGCAGCCTGTAAGTGCTTCTATGAAATCCCACGTGGCCAACTCAAACAAGAAGTGAGGGCACTGCTATTTTACTGCCTCAATTCCTTTTGTACTATCTCCATTGCTTTCTGCTCTCTTTCATGGTGGATATTCCCAGCCTCCAAATTTAAGTTCTTCCTGCAGATATAGCTGGACTATGATTCATATAGCAAATGCAGTTAACCTTTCTATTATATTTTCTCTTTCAGTGTCTGGAAAGAACCATACACAATTTATAAACAATGCAAGAGCACAGGCTTTGTGGAAGAAAAAATGAGCTTCCAACTAAATTTACCTCTATTTTCTTTTTCAGAAAGACTGGAGCATCTTTTCCCAAGCATTTCATCAGGTTTTGCAGTATAAAGAGGTCTCTGATACTTGGAATGCGCTGCTCCACTAGTATTCTGAGGAAGAAAAACACACGAGGCCTTGAGCTGGAGAGAGTAACTGTTAAATAGAGCTTTCCTCATTTCAGCAGAAGCAGGTAGGTACCCCCATTCTCCCTCACTGATGTACTCCCAAGTTAAACCTGTAATTCCCTGCTCCTCTCCCACCTCCTTTTTTGCAAGGCTGGCAAAACTCTACATGATATAGCTGCAGCACAGATATTTTGCACATGGAAATAATTATAGATGCTTTCTTAATGTTATCCTGATAGATGAGCATTGCTGCTGATACATTAACAGGGACACCTGACCAGACTGCACATGTGACTGTGCAGTCATGAGTGCTGTTAAGCCTCAGGGAATTGACACTTCTCTTCAGAAAAAAAAAAATTGCACATTTTTATCATAGAATCATCTATGTGCAGGCAAGTTCTGAAACAGCTAGGAAACTTGAGGACAGACACTGACAACAACTTGGTGCAAGTGAGGAAAAAAACCCAAGAAGCAGTGCTGTGGGCTGCAGGAACAAAAGAGGGTATCTGTGTTAACAAAGGGATCATAAGAACAAGATGAAGGAGTTCTGCATTCCCAGCACCTCCTTTTCTGGCTTAGAGGGAGGTATTGCAATTATCCTGTCTGAATCACCCTTAAATATACCTGCACAGCTACAAAAAAAGAAAAGTTTCACTCTCTAAGGCAATGCACTGCTCTGAAATTCGTCCCTGCAGATGCAGCTTCCTGCAAATGGGCAAGAGCTCCAGACATCAAGAGAGAGAAAGAGCAGTAGATGGATCTCCTGCTTTCTACCAACTTAAAGAACTCTGTACCTGAGCTTCCAGGAGAACCTGTTTTTTGCATATCACTAACACATCCACCTTCTTTGAGCAGGACCTGACGGAGGACCAAAAGTACTAATCCACGGCAAGTTTTATGACAGCCTCAGTAATAATGATCTCATGGGAGTGAGCAGACTGGTTACCCACATAAATCTCACTGTCCCAGAAAAAAAAATCACTACAGCCAAACAAGTTATTCTGACAAAGCACAACACAGAAGGCTTTGCTGGATGCACAGATAAAGTCTAAACTTGTCTTCATCTTAATTTTTACTTACTAATTTAAAATAAAATATTCCCTGGCTGTTAAACAGCATTTTTTATCATGACAAATCACAATACTTCACAAAGTAAACTAGTCTCATTACCTCCTTTCTATGCACAGATAAAACAGAGGCATAGGTACGCAACGTGACTTGATCAACATCACAAAAAAAACACAGGGAGGAGCTGCAGTCAGAATGTGAATTCCCTACAAAGCAGTCCAGCACCCAATGCCTCCAAAGCCTTTCTGCTTGAAACTGCAAAGACAACACCAAAAATCACTGTCTGGTATAGCTATTATCCCATGTGATGATTTCAGTCCTAAAACCACAGTAAGTCTTTTATGTGCAGACATTCCCTCCAGGATTTCTAAAAGACATGTATTCAAACAACATGTAAATACAAAGAACATGTGGAAGATATATTTTTCTCACTGTAATCCAGCTTGAAGAGCGCTCACATTCTTGTCTTTATCCAGCCCTGCTAAAGTAGTTGCCAAAACTGAGAGACACCGGTTATCAAGTTGATTGAGCTTCTCCTGTTAAAGAGTTTTCACAATGTCAGATTATTTCAGACCAGTAAAAGTTTCAGAAAAGAAAAACTGACCACTCTTAATCTGTATCTGCCATCTTCTCTTTCCCCCGAGAAGTCAATTCATAAACTTTAATTCTGCGGCGACCTACAAGGTCAAATTTAGTTGATTTGAAAAGGGTAATGATTTTTGAGACTTCTCCTCTCCATCAAATCTGTCTGAAATCAGGCAGTGGTTTCAAAAACGTACACACATTTAATGATGGGAGCCCTGCTTCCATGGAACATCAGACTATACCAGGGACATAACCGAACTCTCTCTGATGTTGCACAGCTTCTGAGAATTAGCCCCAAGGTTTCAGCCTAAACTTAGGAGAAGGGGGATTTTGATACTTACTTGGCACACCCTCAGAAAAGTCTGGACTAGGAGAGTGTTCTGAGGAACACCTAGGTTCACCACAGCATGCAGAGAGAACACCAGGTCACCCCGTGTCATCCTTCTAGAGTCCCGCAGCAGCTGCTGACAAAGCTTGACAAAAGCTGGGTGCTCAAAGATCAGCTGCTTCTCATAACGCTGCTGCTCTTCAGACAGGTTTTTGAAGAGCCTCCATACAGTAGTTACACAGTTTGTGAAGTGCTTAAGGGAAACAGCAGACTCTGAAGCCAAGTCCAGTACGTCGCAAGGACAGGTACATTTCTGGAGATTATTAAAGAACGGTTCACTATGATCCACTGCATGCTTCACTTTGAAGCTCCCAGAATCATCTAACTTTTCATGTTCTAAGGAGCTCTGGAGAGCCTGCTCACTCACCAAAGCCTCTGTACTCTTCTCTGGTTGCATTTCAGCACCCGTGCTAAAAACATCTGTCTTTTGAGACAGAAGTCGAAGAGATCCGTGCAGAGAGGGAAAAATATTTAAAAATAATTTTCTGAAGTTCACATTTTCCAAGGGATCCCTGGATCTACCAATCCACAAAATGTGTTTTCTTGTTGTGGCTGAAGATTTAGGAGTGAGCATAGAATTGCACCTATGCATGCATCTAACAGTATTTAACAAATAACTTATCTTATTATTCATTTTTGCTAATGTCTCATGAACAGATTTGAAATGCCAACTCGAAGTAAGGGACCCAATGGAATTTTACTAGTGGACACAATCCTGGAGAAACTGCATAGTATCACTTATCTGTAAAAACAATTGAAAATTATGGATTAGTTACCAGACTTTCAATTCTTAAAGTTTCAATTGCCAAATCTATGCACATCTTTTACAGGAAAAAGGAAAAAAAAAAATTGGAAAAAGTTCCCTGGAAAATTTTTTGCACAGGTACTTCCACTGGGCCTTCTATATTTTAGTCAAACATCTCAACACAAAGCTAGCACATCCTGGGTGTCGCCTCTGTTTTTCCTCTTCGTTGTTTTAACCAAAAGCTTGACAGGAGGGAGAGTCTTTTCCTAACGGGTCACTGCCAGCCTTCGGCGGCGGTTTACTCAATGCTGCC